ATGAATACATTAATAAACTGTTCTCTATAGCACAGTTTGGTGCCTCAGCAGGATTCTTGCAGTTTAGATAAACCAGGTCAGCGAATGGCCCTTTGTGTGTCTGCATTGTCATGAAATGCCATTTCATCCTCGTATTCCTGCTAGATATTGCAGACTCACCACAACCCTTTTTCCCGGATAAGTGTTTATAGATAAAGGATGGATAGAATCTCTCCCTACTCTTGTACCATGGGGATGTCTCTACAGATTACAGAAATCTCTTCCAAATCTACGTCTATATCTCATATCTTTATATTAGCTAGAGCACAAAGGTACCTTCAGCAAGTGTCCCTTCAAAATGGGAGTATTTAGTGTAGGTACGTTCTGGAGTACTCCAGGCATGGAGACATGTCTGAGACCCCCCTTGAAATATAGCAGCCTCCCCAAAAAAAATTTTTCTGGCTCGGGGAGTACACTGGGGTGGTTCACAGAGAAGATATTTGCACAAATGTGATGTTGTTGCCATTCGAACCCTCAAACTCCCCAGTAGTCTCCCCTAATCCCTTAAAGCAGTGTTGCCGAATCCGATCCTCTGGGACCCACGACAGTCCACGTTTTAGCTCCCTCCAAGTTCCCTGCTGGACAGTCCACATTTTTCCCTAACTGGGAACTGAGAGGGAGCAAAAACGTGGACTGACTCTGGGTGCCCGAGGACCGGATTGGGCAACACGGCTCTAAAGGTATCAAATAATGCCGTAACGAAAATCAATTAATGTATTTAGTAATGCACTGGTGGCCATTAATGGACAAAGTATTTATGAGTACAGATCTACTGAAATATAATGTGGCAGTTTAATTAATTACAAGTTCTAATTAGGGTTTTTAATTATATACTGATGGGATGGAAAAGAAAATGTTTTTTAGTTCTGGGTGAGGGGAACGCTTCATTTGTGTTTACCTTGACCCGCTGACCTTTAAAGAAGTCATTCTGTCCGATAAGAATACATACAGCACTGGCCCTTCTGTTATGTCACTTTTACGGTTATCACTCTATTCCGCTCGGAGCGTGTCGGTCTTTTAGTGCTAATGACTTCAGAGGTAACCCGTAGTTCTGGTTTTGGTTAGCTGCCTACACAGTCACTTGTTTATGCATTGGGCTGATGAATACCGCAGTTAATTTTCTTCTTGACCGCACACAATAAATAATCCTGAGGTATAACTCTTTCAGGCGCGTGCGAGGGCAGCTAAATATGCTTGATTGCTTCCTAAGGCTCCACGTCGTGTAACGGAATATGGGCACCGGTGGGACAGAGCCGCGACTCGTAGGCGTCTCGTCACTTTCCCCCTCTAGTCATTTTCTTCCCGCTGGCTTGTTGTCCTGTATCCCTTATAACATGTTCACGACACGCTGTCTTTGAGGTAATGTCACAATCGCAAGCCAAACGGCGAACGCATTACAGATTCTGCACCACGTGCCTGTTGTACATTTCAATATGAAAAGCCATTAGGAATGACAGCACATATCAGACTCAGTGATAATAGGGCCGATTCACAAGATCCTTCATTTCAATCTGAATTCAGGAGATAAACCTGTCACGCTCTTAGCGTGGTTGTTATGCTTGCAGTCTCCAATAGTGTTGTTAAATCCGAATGCTTTTTCCTTTTAGCTATTAAGATGACTTAAATAAACTAAATGTATCGTTATCATGATTGTTATTGTTGCTGTTGTTGCCTAAAAGGGGTTTGTGAAAATGGTGTTAGGGCTCGCCAAAGGGAAACTGCACAAAACGGCTGATTCTTAAGAGGGAGGATTACAGCTCGTTACCGTTTGTGTCTCTTCGGATAGTTTAAAGGGAAAGCCGAAAGCAGTTCGGTAGCTATGAAGAATGTTCGGCAGCTATGAAGAATGAGGTATCCTGAATGATATATACCTAAAAAAACGGACAGAGGGTGGGAAGGGCGTTGAGACGCAGGAGGTCTGAGTTACGATTGACGATAAAATGCAAATGAGCTGTAAAGATGGTGCCTTGCTGGGCCGGTGAATGGGAGTGGAGGATGTGGTGGACCAGTGGTACTCATTACCGCTGGAGGGGGCCTGCCACTCACTAGGAGGCAAAACAGAGGGGTAACAGGGGCACGCGCAGCGTAACGGTGCTCGGAGCGCTGGGTGAAACGTTCTCCTCCTATCGTGTCTGCGACATGTCTGGAACGGAAATTCACAGTTTATTAATATTCACGGTCTGTAAGAAAAAAAAAAAACACACACACATAACGGTGTCGGTTTTTTGCCGCTGAAGCGTTGCCGTTTTTATGAGCGACGCGGTTGTTTTTTTGGCTGTTTTATTATTTTTTTTTAAACTGTAGCAGCTTCGAGAAAATAATTAGGATCCTCTTATGTCGCAAATGAACACTTTGGTGCTTATGGTGCTCTATAAGTAATACCAGCTGCAGATGAATTAAGTAGCTGAGTAATAGAGAGCAGCATGTTGTGATTTTTAAGGACATTTTGTACGTAGCGATAATAAATCTTTGATCACCATCAGGAAGTACAGTACACTAACAGTAAAAAGTGCCGAGTTTATTTCAACAGTTTTCAAAATCATCAGGGGATTAATTAATGTTGTGAAAATGGCGGCACGGGGGCCTTGGTGGGCACCATTGTTGTTTCCCACCGCAGGGCTTGCTGGCACCGCCCCAGCTCTGTGTGTATGCCAGGTGTTTGCGCCCTCCCTCTGTGTTTCTCTCCACATTCCAGCACATGGTTTAGGTACACTGGTGATGAACAGCCATCTTTAGTTTGGGAAGGCCCTTTCACTGTGGTCCCTGCCTTATTAGGTGGACTGGTGATGAACGGCCATCTTTAGTTTGGGAATGCCCTTTCACTGTGGTCCCTGCCTTATTAGGTGGATTGGTGATGAACGGCCATCTTTAGTTTGGGAATGCCCTTTCACTGTGGTCCCTGCCTTATTAGGTGGATTGGTGATGAACGGCCATCTTTAGTTTGGGAACGCCCTTTCACTGTGGTCCCTGCCTTATTAGGTGGATTGATGATGAACGGCCATCTTTAGTTTGGGAACACCCTTTCACTGTGGTTCCTTTGCTTCACAATGACCATAGTAGGATCCAGTACAGCAGTGCATATATACCTTAATCATTTCTATAATATATCTTAGTGGTTGCTGATGGGTCAATTGCCAAGACATTTTTTTGGATACTTTATTGATCCCTGTGAGAAGATTCTCTTCACGCCTCTCTGTAGGTGACATCGAGCTGCCAGCGAAGGGCAGCCAGAGAGCTGGGGGTTAAGGGCCTCTCTCGAGGACCCGAAGATGTGCCAAGGCTGGGCTCAAACCCTTCCGATCACAGGCACAGAGGCTAGTTGATCTAGTCGATTGTGAGGCCCCCCCCCCCCCCCCCCCCCGTTGAAGATCATTGCTTTATCTGGATATAAAATTTTGTGGTAGCTATATTTGGCAAGGCTGCCTGCAGAATAAATAGAAACATAACGGACACAATTCTGTTATTTACCAGTATAAAGCTGCGTTGTGTAGTGTGTCACTGCTCATTTGGTACCATGTATGATCCGAGTTTCCAGTGATAAAGAAGTATTTTGCCCTCTATGTACGACCGCCATTACCTTACTCTGTGTAATAGGCCGGACACATCGATTTTCCCCAGGATGTCTGAATTGATGCAGTATGTCCGTGAGAACTCCAAGCAGGCTAAATGAGTCTGTCCGGCTTGTTTGTGCAGGTCCTACCTGATGGCTCTCTCCCTTCAGGGTCCCTCGGCGCTCAGTATTATAACTCACCAGATGTTTGCTTGACCCGCTATTTCATGATCCACTATAATTCACACTGAGAACTTGAGTAAGGTTCAAAATATTCAGCTGCCAAATTAGCAATCAGGGTCAATAATTTGTGATTGGACAGTGCATTTGCTTATTGTGATAATGGAGAATTCATTATGTTAGAGGGGAATTCTATCACAGAATTATATTGACCATCACCTTGCAAATTCAACCATATTTTAGGAAAAATGTGTTGACAAGGCCCTTGAAAAGAGAACTGGCCCTTTGTTTTATGACAAAATTCCCCTCATAAAATCATGAAGGCGCAGATTTTTAATCATTCTGTTCGGAGTAGAATGCATATGCTCAGTTTGTCAGCAGAGGTGGAAAGTCCAGGTCCAGAAATTAATAATCCAGGTCAAAATTTTGTTTCAACCAACCAGTTGAGCATGAAGAGTCCCAGTCACTGGTTGGTTGGTTGGTTGGTTGAAATAAAATCTTGGTCTGGAGTTTACTTTCTGGACCTGAACTTTCCACCTCTGTTTCTCAGTGGTCATCATGTGTGTTGGCTGTGTCTGCGTTTTTAAGACAACATAAGACACATATATCAATATGTGCTATTGATATGAGAAACTCCCGCCTGCTTGTGTGATTGTACTGTATTTATGGGCTATTCCGGATTGCCAAAAGCCTAACTGAATGCAGTGTGAGACACCGAGCTACTGGCAGTGATCCGCATCGAACATGAAAAGGCAAATTTTATTACTGCCGTTACTTGGTGTCACACTAAGAGAATCCCCTTGAAATTCATAGCCGTAATGTAAGATAAAACTAAGTGTAAGTAGTTTGGCTATAAAATCAGATCGAAGATTAGTCCATTTTATCTTTGGGCTTAGAGTGGTAGATTTTGGAATTATTGGAGTGCTAGTTGAACTATAGTAGATTTTTAACTGGACTATAAAGTGGAATAAGGTTTTACGATAATGTTACACTTGTCCAATTCAGATTGTGTGGTTTATTGAAGAAACTTATCAGCGTACTTTTGTACTGAATTCTAGGTACTTGTTACATTACTCAGTGGAGACCTGATTTGGAGAATAGCACATAATAATAATAATATAGTATCGAAACTAAACTTTGAAATGGTAAAATTTTGATATGTATGTTCTCATTATTTCTTTCAGTATTAAGGTCCTTTGTAGCTTAAACATGGCTGTTTGTCTCATTTCAGTTCTCTGTCCTGAGACGGCAACAACACGATGAACCTTGGAGAGAGGTAAGAATTGTGTGCCATTGTGGTAATTCATGCAGAACAGGGTTGGGGGGGGGGGTCACTTTGTTGATATGTATTACCGTATTGACCCAAATATAAGACGACCCCGATTATAAGACGACCCCATACTTTTTGGCAACTGTTTTAGAAGAAAAAAGTTTGTAATACAAAATCTTATAAAGAAAAAATATTTTATTTGACAAGAACATATTATCAGGATCAATAAAGTATCTATCTATCTATCTATCTATCTATCTATCTATCTATCTATCATCTATATCTATCTATCTATCTATCTATCTATCTATCATCTTCTATCCATCCATCCATCTTAAATAACAATAATTTCCATTTTCTTTAAGGAAAGTCACACTTCCTTTTTACAGTTTTTATGTCTTATGTAGGCAAAATTATGTCGAAACGCAGTGAACCGCACTGAACAGGAATGACGGCAATGTTTTAATTAAAAGTAGGAGTAACTGGGTAATCCCATCATAAACGTTAGCTTCCTCTGCACTGCATGTTTGGTTTGGAGAGGCTTGGGGAAAGCCTTATCTTATGGTAGCGGATCCTGCTGACAGCTTTGTAGACGGGTGGGGGGGGGGGGCAGGTGAAGCGATCAATGGCTATCCGGAGTGGGGGGTGTCTAGTGCTGTTCTGTGGCCCCGCTTCCCTGGACTGACAGCGGCTGTAACGACCCCACTGAGCCCAAACAAACGTGCCCCCGTCCCTTCGCAGCTAAAGGCACGTTACACGATCTGTGTGGACCCAGGGGACCTTTGTTATCTCTGCCAATAATAATGATACCTGTGCTCATTCATAAACTCAGTCAGCCTTATTGAAGACCGGGAGTCTGCTGTAGGGGGTTGGCAGAACTGAGCCTTCAGCATCGGAGCTGAGGAGGATTATTGCGCGCTTTTAAAAACTGAGCGGTTCAAGCCATTTCCTGTTACTTCCCGGGTCCCCACATGGTGAAATCAGACAGTGACTGACAGTTTAGCGTAATCCCACCCACGGTGGGTCTCAAAGGCTCGTTCACCCTGCCGCTATCTCGCACAGCAGCACCGTTTTAAGCATGCACGGCTGGGCGCTAATCCGGCGGAATGCGGTTTTGATTGCGATCAGTCGCTGTCATCGTCCTTGGGTCGCCGCTTGCGTCCCGTTGTGCGATCCGGGAGTGACCAAGGGATGGTTTGAGGTCCCGTCTTTGGAGGGAATTTATGGAGATGACATTAGTTTTGGGCTGGACCCTCATATTTGCTAAGAGCTGGGGGTGCATTGCAGCCTGGTCAAAAGAGGAGGCTTGTGTGTTGTCTTCCATTTTGTGCTTTTACCGTGTTAAATAAGTGATGGATGGATGATGGATGGATACACGGATGGATGGATGGACTGAAGGATGTATGGATAGATGAATGGATGGATGGATGGATTAATCAGTCCAAGCTGGGTTTACAGTTCTGCTGGTTAGCGAGTAATGACAGATTCGCATTATTAACAGATCCATCGATTTCCTCTAAATGTTATGATTTGTCTTTTGTTTACAGGCTTTAACATGAAATTTAAGGATTGTTTTTTTTTTTTATTATCCACCTCCCATGAAGGGTTTGAGACGGCACTCCCCTATCGATACGCTCTGCCTCCTCGGCCGTCACTGTGAGCGACAGCGGAGTCTGAAAGGTCATTTGAACACCGCGGCGCCGCTAATCACTCCCGCGGCCTCTCGCCCTTAATGCAGTCTGCTGATATGTGGCTCAGTTAGTCGGGGATTAATCATTTGCTGCGTCACTTCCATTCGGAGAAAAACAGCCCCTGACCTGCTTTACGATGCGTGCTGCCTGCGTGGAATCTGCAGACATGAATGCGAATATGCTTTTACACGACAGAGTGGCAAATGAATATAGTCGCCAACGAGGAAAATATCCCGCAGTCTCCTGCCTTCCTGTGAAGTGAACAGCACTTTTCTTTTAACCTTTGGTATAAACCTTTTTTTCCCGTTTCTGAAGACACTAAATGCAGCATCGATCTTTGGCATTGACGCCGCAGTGAAAGCCCATCTCCAAGCTAATTATGGTGTCACTCAATACTGTTTTTTTTCCACATTCAAATGGGCAATTATACCAATCTAGCCCGATGAAGCGAGACCCTGGGTGTAGCAGCCACACGACACACTAAGTGTCCTCGAGAAAGGCCCGCTTTCTCTAGCGATGCGTCGCGAGATGTCTTTTTTCGCAAGTCATGAAATTGCCTTCACGAGAAAAGCATTGAAAGCTCATTCGCGTATCTTACCTATCAACGTACAGCCCCCAAACACATGCTGAACACAAGGTTCTGATTCGAATGACCAAGATACAATCACCCTCATGTTGGGATTTCTGGGCCATCAGCAACAGTTATGCGATGTGTTTGTTTTAGGGTATCGTTCATTACGTGCATGAATATTTTTTTTCGCAGAACCTTTTATTCAAAGTTCTGTACAATCGACGACGTATGGTGATCCAGTCCCTGAGGCAAATGTGAGTTATGGGCCTTGCTCAAGTGCCTAATGCTGAAATTGCTCTGCTGAGCATAGGATTCGTACCCACAACCTTCTGATCACAGTCAAAACCCCCTATCACACTGCCCTACACATACTGGATATGCAAGGCGTTGTGCTACGGGCGTGATAAAAATGGTTTGGGTGTTGAATTAATTTCGAGATCACAGAAATCAATGCGAGAAATCTATCTCATAATCCCATGATAATTTGTAATCATTACCAATGCATCGCACTCAGAAATCTACCATCGGATGCCCATATTCTCAGGAATGCACAGTGATGATATCAGTTCGGTGCCACAGTATGACACTCTCTGTTTACACAGGGTTTGGTAGCGATGGGTTCTTGGCGATTCTATTTTCTTTGTTGACAGGCGAGATCATTACCTCTTATGCTTCATCTTAGCCGTACACAGGAGGCAGCCGTTAATGACTTAGATGGCAAGGAGAATATTTGAATAAAGAAAGTTCATTAGAATTAATTCAAATTGCAAATAAGCCTTTATTGCGAAGCATGAGAAACTTAATAGTTTTCCGCTCTAAATGAGATGCAGAATAAATCTGGGCTTTTATGAACTACTCATATCTCAGAGAGATTAAAATTTAGTTTGGGATGTACTTTTCAAAAGAGGATTAAAGTGCAATGCTTATTTTTGAACGTTATCTAGGGTTTCTCAGCGTTCAGTTCCCTGCAACATGATTCCTGCAACTATTTTTGTAGCAGTGAAAAACAGCCTTTTCCTCGTGCGTTTCTTTACGTAAATGAAAACAGTGGCGTTATTTTTACCATGGGGCCGTGGAGCCGGCTGCCCTCCGATAAGGAGCTATCGATTTGTAATCTGCACGTCTGTGGGTCACCCCGTCTCTGGGGTCTCCTTTCGTGAGCTTGTTTGCAGTCCGTCCCCCGAGGCTCTCTTAGCGCTCCTAAGTTCTGCTGAGGCCTGTGGATGTCGACAGAATCACTGGGCAGAGCAGCCGCCACTCCCCCTCCGCTTCGGAGCGGAATTCGGAAGGGAAAATGTTGCACAGCCAGGTGTCGGCTGTACTGTATATTGTCGGGGCTGATTAGTTTCAGGATTTGTCTACCAGTCCTGAGAAGACATTCTATCTCAGACCCATAAACTGAAGGTGCAGTGGCGGACTGTTTTGTCCAATGTTCGTTTTACATACACAGCTATAATTTACACTGGGGTCTGACAGCTCCAGGGATGGGTGTTTGAGTCTCCTTTCTCCTTGCCTGCCCCCCCGTTTAACGTGGGTTTGCACCCAGAGTCCGAAGACCTGCAGTCAGGCAGACTGGCGGCTCTGAAATGCCCAAAATTTGTAAGTACATGTGTCACTGGAGTGGCTCCTATACAGGGTGTATCTCTGCCTCATGCCCTCAGCTGCCTGGAATCGGTGACCCTGTCCACAGTAAGTGGCTTAAGGATGGATCGATGTATCTCGTAGCCCCAGAATCCCACGCGGCATGAATGTTATGGGAGATGGATGCGAGCGTTATAGTATGGGTGGTATGTTAGCTTAACCCGTGTTTTGGTTTTAGTGCTGTACGGTTGCTTATTGATCCAATCCTTAATTTTGATTGAGATACCCTCTTCCATGCTTTCTTCAATTTCATTATTGCTAAAGCCTGCTTTTCTGATTTGATTAATCTTCTGAATCTGTTAACTAATTACTCCAGCAAGTCTGTTATCTCTTAAGTCCATTACAGCGCCGGATGGATGCTGTGTTGGTGTGGTATAGTATATCACCCGCCACCCGTTAGCCTTCGTCTTCGATGATACCGAGGATTCCTTGCCGTCGTTTGCAAAGCCGGCTCCGCTGCCTGGCCCAGTGTGATTTATAGTAGTAGTCACATGGAGCCATATTATGAATGTTTCAACTGAATGACTCAATATTGTTTGGAGACTAAGGAGGACAAGACTTCTCTCCAGTAGGACAGTGTGATCGACCTGCTCGCAGTATGCAAAAAATGAATCGCTTAAAAGCATTTTAAAACCCAAGCAGTAAACAGAGCAAACAAATTTTTATATATGCACATACACACACATACACACACACAAGTTTGTAATTATATATTTGTGGGGACTCTCCATTCATTTCTATGAGGAAAACTTTAATCCCTACATGATGACCATAACCCCTACCCAGCCCTAACCTTAACCATAAGTAAGGTTATGTAACAAACGTAATACGGGACTTCTAGAATTTTTAGTTTTTTGATTGTATTCACAGGTCTTTGTGGGGACCTGAAAAAATCCATCATTGTGGGGAACATTTTTATTAGAATTAAGTGATCAGTGGTCGTTGTCAACACACCACAGCACACAGTGCGCAACAACGAAATGTGACCTCTGCATTTGACCCATATGTGACTTTCGTGACATAGCAGGGGGCAGCTAATTCAGTGCCCAGGGAGCAGTGCTTGGGGACGGTACCTTGCTCAGGGTACCTTAGTGGTGACTTGCTGGTGGGGGATTCGAACCTGCAATCTTTCAATTACAAGCGCGCTACCCTAACCATCAAGCCACCACTGCCCATTTGTGTGTGTACAGTATATAGATATGTACGTACACCAGCCTGGCAAAGCCTGGTTTATGTATAGGAATAACTTACAATCACCCTGAATATACCGCTTTTTACTCCCTGTTAACTGATGTTTGAAACTAGCAGATTCTCCTTGTCTAACATGTTTTTATGCAGGAATTTTGATACTGATGCGTATGCTGAATTACTGAGGACCTACAGGTATCAGTTACTGCTGCCGTACTGTCACATGGCTGTATAACCCCCCAAGTTTTAATGGCAGAATTTTAATGGGGGGGTGGGGGGCAATGATTAATATGAAACAAAGAGGAATATTAGATTAAAAGCATATGAAGGCAAATAGTATCATTTCAGTACATTTCTATTTACACTTTGGCCAGTGAAAGTTATCTGTAATTGCAGTTTGCTGTCCGGATCTTCCAGTGCAGTGGAGATCCTCACTTGTCGACTTATTGTATTCTTGTGCCAGTGCAGATTTTCTCAGCTTTTCAGGAAATCCTGAAAATTAAATACAGTACCGCACAAAAAATATATATATCATCCATTCGTGGTTGAGAGTTAACAGCATTAAACTGCTATTAGATTAAACTGTTTTAAAAGACAAATAACTTTGCCTCCTCAGACAAAAAGTGCTTATTGAGTTTTGAGCGTCTTTGTCTGGATCATAATCACACTTTGTATGACTTATTATATATAAATGTGAAACATCCCCAGTTTCACTGCAGGAATAACGCTTTAGTGCTTGTTAATCGGCAACTAAATTACTGTATGCTTCTACTGTATATTGCTTGTATTTAATAGCTGTAATTTAATATAAAATTATCCTTTTTTACCCCATATACGCTTTTATTGTAGTTAAAAGCAGTAGTTTTGCTATTAGTTAGCTCTGCACGCTGAAGACCAGTTAGCTTCCTTTAGCTGTGCTGTGGTTTGTAGGAGAGGCTTATTGGCAGAACATGAATTATGTCGACATTAAATACAACTTTAAGGCCACATAAAGCATAAAGTTGCGCACAGCTACTCAGCAGAGTGGAGGTCAAGTGTGATTAAAAGCCATAAACCGCCGAGTGTGTTCTCGTGTACGAATGGGGCATCTGGAATACCTGGGACTTCGTTAACGCGTAAACAGACACTTGCAGCATATAATAGTAGCTAATAACTCTGTCAGCTGCCCATATTTTCCATTTGTTACCGTTTGACTGTGTCTGTTATCTGGTATAAAATACCCTGATAAAAATCAGGATCACGCATAGAGCAGCCAAGATCATCCGCCTTCCCATTCCAAATCTGACGAAAACCACAGAGCTGTCATTCGCCTCGCAAGAACCATAACCAATGACTGTAGTCACCCTCTTAACATACAGTTTACTCTGCTGCCATCAGGTCACAGATACAGGACTCTGAAATGGACATGGGCTCGCTATCTATCTATCTATCTATCCATCCATCCATCCTATACAGTTCCTGATAGTCCTTGTTATTCTGTCTGTGGTAAATAATGACCGGTCTTGTTTTGTTTTGTAAGCTGTTTTTTTGATCGCGTTCGTTTTCATTTAGACTGTGTCTTAACAGGATACGGTTTTACAATTGATACGCCACTGGATTCTAGCTGCATTTGCAACGGTACAAACAAAATGCAAATGTCCGCGCTTTAAATCGCCCGCTTCGTCAGGGGATTAACGATGTAAGGCGCTAACGGCTCCTTAGCATGCGTTTGTCGACTATGCAGGCTTGCAGAACGTTCCACTCTGACATCACGGACTGATTCCAAGATGTGTAACATGCGTAAACTTGTAGTACTATAATGTTCCTAAGATGTAGCGTGTGACTGTTTTGCAGTTGTGTGGGAAGCGTTGCGCGCCTGTCAGAGCATTAGCATTTTTGGAATCGTTAGGTCTGGCCTTCAGGCTGTGCCCTCAGCTGGGATCAGGACTGTCAGTTTGGATCTCAGCAGGACACTTTAGGATGTGACAGCCTTGGTATGGGGCTGACGGAAATGCTCCGCGTCCTTAACTTGCACTAGCATATGCAGGCAATAATATTATTTATCATTATAATTTTTAAGCTAATTAAACGTTCCGGTTTTTTACGAGTCATGCTTGAAATTCATTAGGTAAAGCTAAGAATGAACACTCACATCCTTTTAATGGCTTATCTCCTTCACTATAAGTGACATTAATGTCTGCTATAATGCATTTCATTTTCCCTTTCTTCATTTGTGCATTATAAATGTCGAGCACGGAACACGTGCTTTCTGATGAGTCGCCCGCTTCATTCTCTTTCATTTTTTTCTTTTATAGACACATTTTCTAATAGATGTTAGATTGGCCGTCCGCTTAATCATTCAAGAACATACAGTAGCTTGTTCTTATGTTACATTAAAATGTCATTTTAAGACGTTTCAGTAGATGCCTTTGCTGCCGTGGATTTCATTTCTGATACTCCAACATCCAGCCTATTTTGCTACTATCTAGAAATGACTTGGAAATCTGTCAAAACTTATTTCTGATGTTAATTATTGCAATTATTATTTAATCTTTTTCAAAATTTTGCACAGGAGAGGAACTTATGTTCTATTCTCAATTATATCACTTTTTCTCTTTTTCCATCCTCTAACAGTTTATTATGGTTAGGATACGCACTGGATGGGTATTGGGTACGCCCTGGACGGGATTGGGTACACCCTGGATATGATTGGGTACGCTCTGGGTGGGATGGGAAATAGACAGGATGCCAGTCCATTGCAGGCATGCCAGGTAACCTAACAGCAAGTCTTTGGACTGTGGGAGGAAGCCCACACAGCCTGGGGAGAGAGAGCATGCAAACACCAAACA